GGTTCGAATCCGACCACCACCACTCGATTTCCCCCGTCTAGCTTGGGCAACCTGGCAGTATCCCAGCCCTCGTGCTTCCTTCGGGTGGCATGGCAGCTAGGTACCGATGGGTGCTACAACTGGAATACAACAGACCTTCTAGCGTCTGTCCTGTCAACCACAAAGGTTGCAAAGAATGGGCATCTCATTCATTCATACGTTTTCTTACGTTTTCTTTTTGGAAGCTCTCTCCGTATAATGACACATGCCCAAATCTAAGGACATACAGAATTAAATCCACACAAATCTAAGGACATACAGAATTCATTAAATCCACATCCGTTCGATATCTGCAGGCTTAGCGCTGCTCGCTGAAACCGCGGTAGATTGAGCAACACAAAACGTCATCATCACCATCATTATCGACAGCATGACATCAGTGTNAGCCCGCGGGATCGCTGTAGCACTCAAGCGCGACCATCACGTTAAGGTGACAGCTTTAGGTCGGATTTGTGTTCACATTCTCGTTTCGTATCAGCCATGCTTTCGCCTTCAATTTCAGCGTATGTACGTCTATTCTTAGAAAATTACAGCGCTACTAATTCCACGCCATTCAGTTTTGTTCTCGCAGTCAGTCAGAATCGATATGCCATCTGAAACAGTGGCTCACTCCTTATGGCTTGAACTTACTACTCGGAAGGTCCATGGTGCGATCACAACCTCTGCATCTTGATTTCCCCTGTCTAGGCTTGGGCAACCCGGCCCTGGCGCTTCCTTCAGAGGGTATCGCAGCTAGGTACCGATGGGTGCTACAACTGGAATACAACAGACCTTCTAGCGTCTGTCCTGTCGACCACAAAGATTGCAAAGAATGGGCATCCTTGTCATTCATACGTTTTCTTAGCTTTTTGGAAGCTCTCTCTGTATAATGACATATGCCCAAATCTAAGGACATACAGAATTCATTAAAACCACATCCGTTCGATATCTGCAGGTTTAGAGCTGCAGTAGATTGACAATATAAAAGGTCATCACCACCATCATTATCGACAGCATGACATCAGTGTTCAACACAGATGTTTCACTGTCATGTTTGTACAAGGGCTGGGATATTGCTAGGGCACCCAAACCTAGACAGGAAGACGATTAAGGTCTTCAACCGAAGGCTTTGACTCAAAAGCTTAACCGCAAGGCAGCGGGGTTTGGCGGGAAATGCAAATACATTAACATTTCTACGGAACAAGTCGCCAGATTTTCAAACCCCTAACCTGGAGGGCCAGGAGACCTCTGACCATTGGCCAACCTGGTATGAGGGACTCTGTGAGTGTCACGGGGACACCCCCAGCATACAGTGGATCGCTGAGGTGCCCAGACCGTCACACCACGATAAGGTCCAGTCTCTTCGTAACAGATATAAAATAAGGGTGTAACTCCACAAATGAGACTTAGGACCACAGAAGTGAAATAGAAAAGAAGTAGGTCTGAGTAATTTTCATGCGGATGTTGAATAGAAGCCAGTTGAAAAAATCCTGTGCTATCGGATTTCAGAACCGCCTGTCCAAGCAATCCAACTGAACTGAATATCGGCGCCAGTCCACCGTCAAACTCAGAAACCAACGCGAGAAAGCACCCCACGCGGATGATCTGCAGCCCTCACTTTTCAAAGGTGGTGGGGTCCCGGTCAACAGTAACGGCTGCAGGCTTACGGTATGTAAAATCCCACAGAATAATCGACTTTAAATTTGATGTTGGGACTCGCACAAATTTACGAATGACAAGCCAGCCAGTCAGCGATCAATTTTAGGCAAATTTTCTGCTATTTATGAATGCCAGATTTTCACTCACGCTAATGAGACTCAATCAATAAGCTAGCGAGTCAGGACGACTACAACCCATCAGGAATATACGCTCTTCAAACTAGGGCAATTCTTGGGACTACCGCTTTTGGCAGATCGTTCCAGTTGTTGATAAGGCTCTCAGGCCTATGATGTGCAGTGGTCCGGCTACCGTAAAAACTACTTTACAAGGAGCGTCAGGTATGAAATATAAATGAACACTAGGTTGAGTATACAATAATAAAGAGAGTCAAAGAAAAACTCACTAAAATCGTCCCCTTTAAAATAGTTCGTCGTTGGCCTAGGCCAGCGAACTAATAGTCCAATTATGGTCGTCTAGGAGTTTTATTTGAACAGTTCTCACGTATAATAAAATCCAAAGATAGTCTGAAATGTTTTGCTACTAGAGTTAGTAAACGAAACTTGCGGATGACGGGTGCAATCGAGAGCAAAATCGGAAGAGGAAGTCGAAGCACATGACCAGGTTTTTTATTGTGTATAAATGTAATGGAGTACGTTTCGCAATTTCTTGTGTTCATGCATTTATGTAATAGGAGAGAAAGGTACAAAAAGCCACAGACGTCACCAGGTCCGGTAGCAGAACAGTGCTTTGTTCCAAAATACATTCAATTTTTGCCTGAGTTATAACGCTTTTCATTACGTAAACTCCAGTGGCTTGCTCGTTTTCTACATGCATGCGATGCGACTGTTGCCCAGTAAACACAATGCCACCGGTGGCTAAATTTGCCACTGAATTTGTTGGTGAATACAAGCCAAACATAGCATTTTTTGCATAAAAGCTTTTTGAAAACAAATGTAAAAGGATACTCTGGATACTGGAGCTTTATTTACGAAGTAATTTTCGAAACCGATTTGTTTGAACGCACCATCGATTAAATATATAAAATTTTTGGGTTGCCACCTTTGGCCGCTTTTAGCCACCGATGGGAAGCGTAACATGCCACCCCTATTTGCCACCTCTTGCCACCGGTGGTACCGCGGTGACGTGTTTACTGGGTGAGAGCACATTTCAATTATACCTAAAGCGCCAACCACATACATAAATACATAGTCCTAATTGAGGTATTCATTGTTCGAGGACAGTTATCATAAGAGGAAACAACGAAAAATTCTTTGTGAGGTTGTAGTAATAAAAAAAGTACGACTAGAGCCATTACGCTGCTCTCCGTATGAAAGCGATCGCAGTTCGAACTGGGCGTCAAGGTTGGAATCATGTTCTTCTACAGTGATGGATTAAAACAAATTGCGGGAAAGGATTATTATTGGAAAACACATGTTTCATCATTTATCCGATGTAAATATCATGTTATCTCCGCTAGCACGAGTTTACCGATCCACATGGTTGACGGTTGATGATGGTGGCCGCGCTTCTCCATGCATCCGGTTTCGAATGGTGGTTTATCGCTCTGTGGGTGGCTTACCGGGCGTCCAGTTTTTTCGTGCTGCTAGTTGGCAGGCCTTCGCCAAAACCTCAAGGTGTTTGTACACTAGTGAGTTGGGAAAATGTCCAAAACACCTGAAAGTAATTATCTGATCACCATTTAGCAGAAAATCTCCCCTTTTTAGCGCAGTCAGTAGAGGAACGATACGAAGCACTTCAAGCTCTGTGCAGGCAGCTGATGATGGTGAGTCTGTGGAGTTGTTTGGGGTGATAAGTTAATAAAGGTGAACGAGACGCTGAAGAGTGAACTAACGAGATTAAGTTCTGTCTACCAGAAGGCTTTCAGCGAGCGAAGGTGCGTTTTTCCTCATATATTCAAAGATCTGTAGCCTGTTGCTTGACGAGTTGGTTGAGCATCATTCCAGTTGCTCAGCTGCACTGAAGACCGATTACTCGTAAGCTAGTGCAGTATGTCTTAACGCATCTGTTTAGACTCGGAACCTCCCACCAGAAAAGACATTCAAACGCCACTGTAAGTCAAGCGTGACAGCAAGCTTACCTGTTTTTATCTTCAGAGCGAACCTCCTATGCCGAAGAAACTTCGCGGACTACAATCTCCGGCTGGTGAGGGTAAGTTCTTGTCAGTGACCAGGAGTGGGAGTTCTCGCATTTCCACAGATCTTCGTAATCTTTCAAGTTGGGCGCAATGCTTTCGGGGACGTCCCCCAGCACACAGCTTTGCTAGTTCACTGGGTTCAACAGGTTCTAGCTAAAGACCTAGAGCATTAACGGCCAAGGACCTGAAGGCATGTCAGATCGTTAACATGAAGCAGCTGGTTGTGGAGGCCGTACTATACGGCCGCTATACAGTCCAGTACATTTTCGTACTCCGGGGATATCTGTCAGTTTTGATGTTGATTAAAGTAATTCTTTGATTTAAAGGTCCGACCCACAAGGCAGTGAGTAGTAAGGTTTTCTTGTGGAATCCTGACCGAATCCGATGATCTGATCCGCTTGAATGCAGATGACTACTCTAACCCAATTGCGCAGGGACTTAGGATCTCTCTCTCTCCTGATGCTACCGCGCATAACAGATTTACTTGGAACCACATCAAATTGGCAGGTTTTCATTGTGTTTCGACCGTATTGCGTGAATCACTGGCGATCACGGTCAACCTAAGGGTGGCCGGACTGTGAGGGTTTAGGATGTCTTTTCCAATCCATCTTTGAGGGGCGGCAGCATACTTGTTAACACAGCTATGAACATATCGGTCTCATCGCCCTCATAATCTCATCGTAGGGGATAATATGACTTCCCCTCCAGGCCGCGTCGTATTACAATTATTCGCTATACGAGGGCCTACTGCTCTTCATCCGGCCGCTCCGCTTTGGCTTCCCTGGCATGGTAGCGCGTTATGTAAGCGATATGCAGCCGGGGTGATTATTGCAGTCCTCAAGTCCATACAATACATCTATGTGGCAGTTTTTGGTGGGGTCAGCAATCCACTGAACTATACTGGAGCTGTCTATTCAGCATCTTCGGGATTCAGCCAAGGTGATCAATGTATAGAAGTTTGACCAGCTCGGGATTCTGGTGCTCCGTGTTGAAGGTTTGAATCAGATAGCCAAATGATCAAGAGCCAACCATCGCCGCGTTGAGGTCAGGGTTGAGTCAAAGTATCTGGTTTAGGACCGTAATCGTCCTGCTGCCTAGGTTTGGGTGCTCATGCAAAAGTAAAATACGCAAATAAGTGTACCCCCAACACCGGACGCTGCATAATAACGTCACCTGGTTCGCTTCGTTCGCTGCACACATGGTGAACGAACGAGAACATACGGGTGCTGGCGCCTGCCATCTTTTTCTCCCTTCCCATTTCACTTGTGCAATCGGACCTTGTCCCAGCATGTTCATTACAGCTTTTGTTGTTTGAACCTTTCGGCAGACTAACCGACTTGAAGCTACCACCTTGTCATGGTGGTCGGGTTATGGTGGCTGGAAATGGGTTCACGCCTGGTAGTCCAACGGTGAACAGCCCAACCCAGGACATCAGGTCCTCGTACTGCGAGAAGTGGTTTTAATAGGCAGTAGAGCATCCGCGCCAACACTGTTACTTCTGGTTCTGATGACGTCTGGAAGTAAGGTCTTACTGTCCTCTACGATGGGTGTGTGAAACCAGTAAGTCGTTTCCTCCAGGCGACCAATGTGTCTCTACGGAAGCAACAATGTTGCCTTCCTCCGAGGGTGAACGGGTCAGAAAGGATCGGATATAGAAACCGCACACCGATCGCCGTGACCACGGCTCATTATCCAGTCCCGTCGAAATACTTTTAGGAGCAGCGTCTGGTGTTGCAAAGAAAGTAACTGCTGTGCGCAGCTGCATTAAGAACGAGACAGTAATGCTTTGCTTCCGGCATCCTCTGGCAAGGCCATCTCCCTGCAGCTAATTGGGTCAGACTATTGAGTCATTGGCGCGAGAAGTGGTCCCTCAAAAAATCCCAGCATCCTACTTTTGAGACTTTTGAGTTAGAGCCTAGGCGTGAGCTCCCCGAACAAACCCCGACATCCTCACTCTGCCGTGTGGATTAGCCTTTGAGTCATGGAGTCATGATGGAGTTCTTCAAGCCAACCCCCTTCGCCGTTTTAGTCCTGACTCATCCCTTGCTGGACTGTGTTCTAGTTGGTACTCGGCTTTTGGTGGTTAGATTGGCGTGGCAAACGGTGTTTGGTGTGTGGTCATACGCTCCGACAGCTCATACCATGAATGATAGCTTATATCGGGATTTCTCACTTACTCCGGTCAGTTAGAAGTGGGAATATCGTGATTCTTGTGGTTGCTATGAATGCACAGTTTGGCCGACTAACTCTTAATGAAGCCCATTTTGGCAACCGTTTCGGGGTTGACGCTCACGGCACGGGTGCTGGAGAGCGACTTCGGTTATATGCTGAACATCATTTGATCCTAGCCAGCGAAACGGGCGAGATAGTTCAAGTGGTTATTGCGCGAATTTACTGACCGGAATGCCCGTTGTTCGAACCCGACCTCTGCCTCTCGACTTCCCCTGTCTGGGCAACCTGGCAGTATCCCAGCCCTCGTGCAACCTTCGGGTGGCATGGCAGCTAGGCACCGAAAGGGTGTTACAGCTGAACGGTAAAGTAGTAGCAATAGTAGCAGCATAAGTGTTCACACCTACTACAAATCAGTTATGGACTCAGTTGGATCATGTGGCAATCGTTTACAAGTGGAGAGCTACGTTACAAGGTCGTCATTCATTTTGAAGTGCCCTGGTAGACTTTGATGGTGGCATTTTGCGAGAGCGCGTCTCTGTTTGCTTCCTTCCTCGAGCACCGCTTGATGCAAGTCCCTTCGGTTCACGACTTGTAAGGCTGTCATACAATGTCTCATCTTTAAACAAATCGGGAGAAGACTGTCAGGATTTGTTTGCCCTGTTTCGCTTCAAAAGTTTTGATTTGGTTTTGTTTTTGCCTTACGTTTGGATTGTGCAGTTAACACCCTGTTGGTGCTTTGATTGTTATGCCGAGCAGTTTGGGCCAGTTCGATTGCTGTACGATCCGCTCTGCTCACCAGAGCCAGGTGGCGGATGTGGAATGAAACTTTGAGCTATCCTCCTCTGTAATGACTTCATTGGCCGCCGGCTTTCTTGTCATGGTTTTGCGATTAGTTTGGAAAAGAATTCGACCATTTCCGGATAGCTCGGTAGTTATAGCGCGAATTTACTGACCGGAAGGTCCGTGATTCGAACCCGACCTCTGCCACTCGACTTCCCATGTCTAGACTTGGGCTACCGGGCAGTATCCTAGTCCTCGCACTTCCTTCGGGTGGCATGGCGGTAAGGCATCGGAAGGGTGTTACAGTTGAACGATTCGATCCGACGGTCTGAGCCGCTTGAGACAAAAATACATTTGCTCTAACTCCAGTTCATCACATCGGAACTCGAACTCATATGTCGGCCGAATATTTTGTTACAACCCAATTAGTCCACATTTGCTCCGGCCAGCATGGAGTTTTAGATTCTTCCTTGTATTACTGTCTTTTGGTGCGCTCGAAATGGGTTCAAAAATTATGAAAGTACGTTGTACTTGAATGCTTTTCTTCAGCTCTACCTTCGGTTTGACAAGGAACACCAGTGTGTTTTCTCGCTTTCGAATGAAGGTAAGCTAGGATCCATCCTTCATTCGTGTACGAATTTGCATGATAGAGTGAACGATTTTGGACGGTCCCAGAGAACAACTAGAGAGGCAATAAGTTATGGCTAATAAATATTGCCAAAG